ACTACCAGCCTTGCCTTTAATCTTTCAACTCTTCCATCTGATAGGTGCTTCACCTTGTACACCCATTTGCAAGGTAAAGCTCTTTTCCCTTTGGGTAGCTCAACTACATCCCATGTGTGGTTGTCTTCTAGTGCCTTAATCTCTAAATCCATAGCCGCAATCCAACCTGGATGTTGACATGCCTGTGCAAAACTGTTAGGCTCTGTAAGTGTAGAAATTGACTGCATGACATGTGGTTGTTTGGGGATAGAGAGGAGAAACAATACTCCCTAGGTTTAGCTGTATGAGTGAAACAAGCAGCTGCTACATCTGTGAACATGATATTATTGCACACATAATCCTTTAGGTAGGCTGGTTGGTTGGTAATTCTCCCTAACCTTCTCACTGGTGTAACCTGGTTAGGTTCAGGAAGTGGTGATATGGTATGTGGTGTATCTGGGATAGGTGAAGAAGAAATTGGACTAGGAGGTGAATAAGAATGGTGGGGTGTTGATGAAGAACTTGGTGATGGGGAAGAAAAATTATCAGGAAATTCAGGTTCCAAAGAAATAGGTGACTGATGGTCCTGTAGTGGAACTTGGTGGTTGTGTTCTATACTGTAGGTTGGGTTGGAAAAAATAGGCTGATGTGAAGGTATGTTTTTAGCAAAGGGAAAATGTGTTTCATGAAACTTGACATCCCTTGAAACAAATACTCTTCCTGAGGATATTTCCAGCAGCTTATATCCTTTTTGATGAAGAGGGTATCCAAGCAAAACACAGGCTGTTGCTCTCTCATCAAACTTTCCCCTTCCCTGTGCTAATGTTGAAGCATAGCAAAGACATCCAAAATTCCTTAGGTAATCATACTTAGTCTTCTTCTTAAACAAGACCTCATATGGTGTTTTCCCTTTAAGAACACTGGAAGGCATCCTATTAATGAGATGTGTGGCAGTTAAGATAGATTCTCCCCAATATGACATAGGTAACTTTGATTTAAATATTAAAGCTCTTGCAGTCTCCAAAAGATGTCTATGTTTCTTTTCAACAACTCCATTTTGTTGGGGGGTTGCCACACAAGACAATTGATGTATAATTCCTTGAGAGGCTAGGAAGGCTGCCTCTTGAGTCCCTTTTCCTAGTTCCAATGCATTGTCAGATCTTACCACTCTTACCTTCTCATTGAATTGTCTCTCAACCATAGATACGAAAGATTTAAGCATGGGAAAAGCATTACTTTTACTACTTAGTAAAAATGTCCATGTCCCCCTACTATAGTCATCTACTATAGTGAGGAAATGCATGAAACCATTGTAGGTGTTTGACCTATAAGGTCCCCATGTGTCAATATGTATAAGCTCAAATCTGTGCTTGGAACTTATTTTACTGATAGGGAAAGGATTTCTGGTTTGCCTAGCTTTAGGACACACATCACAAACAAAATCAGAATTAGATTTAGAATGAAAGAAATCTAAATGCTTCATTGCTGAAAATGGGAGCTGGCCCAATCTTACATGCCAAAGATTAACATCTGAAATAGTGTTCACTAGGAGTGGACTAGAAAAACAAACAGACTCAGAAATGGGATTTCTTCCTTTTGGAATTGAAAATACATCATTGCTAAATAAACCCTTAGACTTGAAACTACTTGGTTCCAATAAGTAGAGTCCTTCTCTAACTTCACCAAAAGCTTGAGGACTCTTCATTGAAAGGCCCTGCAACACACACTCAATAGATGTGAAAAGCACATCATATTTGAATTGAACACAAAACCTATGAACTGACAGCAGGTTATACTTGAATTCTGGAACATGCAATACATTGTTCAGAACATGACCAGGCAGGATAGAAATGCTCCCTATATGAGTAACAATTACCTTGAAAGAGTTAGCTAAACTGATGTTCAAAGGTACAGGGAGTGGAGAGAGAAACAAGAAAGAATTAGAATCAAAAGACATATGCTCTGAGGCACCTGAAACTATTATCCAGGTGTCTGATTTTAAAGTAGTGAAAACTGATCCCGAATACTTCAGAATAGTACCTGCTATTGCATTAGCATTGATTCCTGTATTTCCTGAATGTGCCAATTTTGTTTGCTTGTAGATGTGCATCATTTCTGCAACCTGCTCTTTGCTAAGCTGCTGTCCAAAATTATTCCCATTAAACTCATTTCCTTGTCCTCCTGGATTCTCTTCTTCATTTGCAACCACTGCATTCCCTTTAATTTGATTCTGATACTCTTTATGATTTGTGAATTCAAAATCATCAGGAAAACCAATGATTCTGTAGCAATCTTCCTGTGTATGTCCTGTTTTTCCACAATACGTACAGGTCATATTTGGATTGTATTTCTTCTTTGCTTTGAACTTCTGCTGAGGTTTAACAAACTTGTGTCCAGAATTGTTGAATTTGGGTCCTGTCCCTGTTCCCCTTTGAATCTGATTTCTGAATTTCTGGTGATTCTTTCCTTGTCCTGTAATCATGAAGGCTGCAAAATCAGCTAGAAGTTGTGCATTAGGCTCTTTGTTCTCTCCTGCTGCCATAAATGAAACTGATTGAGAGTTAAAACTTGCATTTGCATAAACCTGCCTTTGATTTTCATCCTGTAAGAGTAGGGAATAAGCTACATCCATGCTGGGCAAGGGATTCATCATGAGGATGTTTCCCCTTGCCTGTGCATAAATGTCATTTAGTCCCATTAGAAATTGGATCAACCTTTGATCTTCTAGTGACTTAGTTAACTTTTCCTTTCCTTCACAAGTACAAACACAAGAGCAGCATATAATGACATTCAAGGCATCCAATTCATCCCACAAACGTTTAAGTTTAGTGAAATAACCTGCAATATCACTATTCCCTTGTACTAAACCTGATAATTCCTTTTGCAGGTGATAGAGTTTTGCTCCATTTGATTTCCCAAATCTCTGCTCAAGACTGTCCCAAAGCTCCTTGGCAGTTTTGGAATAAATGACGCTGTCAGCAATGTCCTTTGAGAGAGCATTAAGGATCCAGGAGATCACCATATCATTCACACAATTCCATTGCTCAAGTTCTGGAGAGTTGAGACCTGGAGATTTGCAAGCTCCATTGATGAATCCAAGCTTCCTTTTAGCTGACAAGGACAAGAGAATGGACCTCCTCCATCCTGGGTATCCTCTTCCATCAAATACACTATTGACTAGAGTCATACCCGGAGAGTCGGAGTTATTGAGGTGATAGGGATGATTAGCATCATAGGTGACAGCTTTCGCAGTATTGCCGGTTCCTGCAGCAGTGATTGTGTCTCCCATCTTGTTCTATTGAAGAAATTAATCTAGAAAATTGATTGTATTGCTGGATCGAGCTAACTGCTCTTATACCAAGAAAGAAAATAGAGAAAGATGGAGAAAAATTTTCTGTGTATTTTCAATTAGATTGTGAACTGTACAGACTGTGACCCATATATACAGCAAAATAGAATCTAAGGCCTAACTACCTGTACACTTGTCTATTTTCCTATTGGCTATTCTATAACAAACTCACATGGTATTTACAAAATTAAATAAGAAATGCAGAAATATAAAATGGCCAATACTAATCTTGTCTTCAGCTTATTGAGCCCAATGAATTTTGAGCCCAAAATAACAATATTGGCCCAAACAACTTTAATGTCTATATACCCAACTTGTATCTTCAGACATCAATTCTCAGACATTGGAAATATCGAACTCTTCTTCTTCTTCATCTGAACTCTTCTTCTTCTTCATCGTTGGATCCTTTCTGTATCTTTGAGCAAGGATGGATGAATACCAAAATTAGGATGGGGTTTCTTCCCAATATGTTCACAAATCTTGTCGAATTAGCAAATTTTGTTTTGCTAGATACATTCTATGTAAGGAAAATAAAGGATATACCTCAGTCTATATGAACATGTTTTTAACTTTATTTAGTAATATTTATTCAACGCACGCATATACAATCCAAATTTGAGACTAGTGTTAGATATGCATTCCCGATTTGAATTTGATCTGATTGTATGCTGATGAAGATGGTGGATGAAGAAAATGCCTGGAAAACTTTTAAAATTGGGATGTGGTGGTCGTCTAAGTTTATATTTGCAAGATCTTTAAAACGAGGATAAAATTTGAACAGCAACCCGCAAAATGAACATAACTGATCAGTAAAATTTTCTATGTGCAGTTTTAATATAGAAAGTGTCTCGAAGACAAATATTCTCAGCTGTCTCATAATATAATGCTTGTTCTGTCTCTTTTAAATTTCACTTGGTTAACTTTTTCCATTTTGTTAAAAGCTTGACATAATTATTTTCAAGTATATGTATCTATCTAGTTTATATACACACTACGTACCTATGTATGTGCATGTATAATCTATAGTTATTATTTTTATTGTCATTATACATGTTACCGTGGGATATACATATACTATTTGTTTCAATGATGATGTCATTTAGCTGACCACATACGTGAGGTGACGTCATTATTCTTGAGCGATATGAAACCCTCTTCCCGGCTTTGTTTTGGTCTCTATATACAGTAAAAATAGCAGGGTCTAGCCAGTTTTCGGACTGGTCATTCAAAAATAGCCAGCGTTTACCAAGTCAATGAAAAATAGCCACCATTTTGCTGCAACAGAGACCGGTCCAGCATAATATACTGAAGTTCGGTGCACCTGTGTATGAACTTCCAGCATATTATGCTGGACCAATACACTTTGCTGGCTCCAGTATATTATGCCGGAGTTCCAGTATAATATACTGGAACTCCAATATATTATGGAGTATTTTTCCGGATTTTGAACAGTGTTTTCGTTCAGATTTATCTTTACATGAAAAGTGGCTAAATTTTGATTACTTTTAAAATTGGGCTATTTTTAAACGACCACTTGTAAATCTGGCTATTTTTGAATTTCTCCCCCTATATATACATAGAGCCCTTTGATAAACCACAACCCTTTCAAGTCCCACCAAAGTGATTTTGGTCTCTATATACATTTGCCATAAAACCCCACACGCCAATTAACATGGACTGCATTAACAAAACCACCATTATTACTACTTCACAAACTTTATCTTCTTCATCTTTTTCTGCCGGTGGAAGTACGGCTGCTCCTCCATCATCTCCGCCAGTTGTTCCGATAACACCTTGCGCAGCCTGCAAAATCCTCTGCCGGAGATGCATCGATAAATGTGTGTTGGCACCGTACTTTCCGCCCACGGAGCCCCTCAAGTTTACCACTGCTCATCGAGTCTTTGGTGCCAGCAACATCATCAAATCGTTGCAGGTATTTCTACGTTGATCATCTTTCTTGATTTTCACTTTGCATGATAATCACAAGGGTTTCATATTTGAACACAGATAAGTGTTTGGTACATATGATATGAGGAAAGTTTTTTTCCTGGTATTTGGTTGGTGAGTGAAAAAAAACATAAAAAATATACAATCATCTTATTAAAATTAATAACAATATTAGTAAATCAAAGAGTATTATGATGAAACTTTTAATAGTAGTGATTAAATATTATGTCTACGTGTTAACCAACGCATGTAATGACTTCCTGGCTTCATCGTATCAAACACCTAAGGGGCTAGGAGATCTACGGAGTATCTCTTTTTGCAAGAAATGCTTCATTTTAGTCATTCTTCTTATGTTTTTTATTTCACTTGCACCATAGTATTTTCTCGTTATTAAATAAAATAACAACAGGGATACAAAGTTGTCGTGCGGCTTCTTTAAGATGCATATTCTCTTACACATATATTCCACACTTAGCGTTTAGTGATCTAAGGGGAATATAATTAACTTTATCTAATCTATACCTAATCCCTCCTCAAGTTTAATTACCATAAACTATGACTTCGTCGTTTCCTCAAGCTGAAGCAAATCACACTTAGGATGGATCAATGTTGACCCCATAGCCCAACGGTCATTTTCTGGTATATCTTCATTTCCTTGAGATATGATCATAATATCTCTGTAAACCTTATGGCAAAATTAAATGCACAAACTCTAATTGCATGGTGTATGAGGCAAATGCAAGGATCAGAGATCCAGTGTATGGCTGCGCAGGTGCAATTTGGCAGCTGCAGAAGCATATTAGTGAGCTTCAAGCACAAGTTGCCAAGGCTCAAGTAGAGATGTTGAATGTGCAGTCACAAAACGCCAATTTGGTGGCATTAATTTGCAAGGAGATGTCACAAAATCAAGTAAACAAAGATAAGAATGAAGAACAAGCTTATGGAAATACCAAGTCTCTTTTTGGAAGACAATAGTGTATATGCAGCTTGGGAACCACTTTGGACATGATAGAAAACAACATTACGTTGGAATATTTCAACAAAATTAGTTTAATAATATTGCCCCCACAAAGGGTAGAAGAATTCAATGGCATCCTTTCTTGAGTCTCCTCGGAGGGGTACGGGGGACTTGGTCTCCTTATATTACTCGCTCAATTCTCATCTTATGAGCTAACTTTTGGGGTTGAATTAGGCTGAATGTCCATTTTTTATCATCCTTTGTAATTGTAACTTGTATAACTCAATAAGAATTGTTTTTCATTAAACACTACTCCCTCCGGTTCACAATAAGTGACCAATTTGCCTTTTTATTTTGCTCCAAAATAAGTGTTCATTTATATAATCAAGAAAAAATTCAATTTGTTTTTCCAAAATTACTCTTATGTACGTATCCCTAAAAAGTCTTTTACTCCTCACATTAAATTATGCTGCAACATTTAATTAAGGGTAATTTAGTCACACTAACTATTTTTGTCTAGAATTTAGTATTTCCTTAATGGGTGTGCCCAAGGCAAATTGGTCAGGGGACCGGAGGGAGTAATAATCTAGAGTGTTTACGAGAGTACCAAAGGTATTTGTGAGATGTACTTTATTAGACTTCTTTTCTCTTATTTGACGACGTCAAATACGGATACTAGTATACTACTTTTAATTTGTTGATATATATACTTTTCGTTTAACTAGTAATTGTCAAGTTTCCTTGTTGAACTTTGTCTTTTGACTGTATTAGTTGAGCTAACACCACCTTTTATTGATAACTAGACTCCAAAATTTGGCAAAGAGATCTTATCTCATTGAGTTGTTTGAAAAAAGAGTTAAAATTTGGTGTGTTATTTGTTTCTTTCTAAAACTAATAAGGATGTTTTCCTTTGAAATTAAATTTTAGAAGGAAAACGAAAAAGAAAATGTAGGTTCACAGGTATAGAATTGTTAATTACTTGAAAACTATGTAATACTATAAATTACAATAATTAATAATGATAGGACACGCCTGTTACGCAAGAAAGGAAGAATCGGTATTTAAGATCTTGAAACTGTTACCTATAAATATTATAAAAGGAGTAGGTTAACTGTAATTTTGTCACAGAGGTAAGTTTTATTTACCCCTTTTGTCCAGTGCATTTTTGGGATGGTATATATAAAAGGATTATGCCTCCTCATGGCATAAATTTTACGTAAAAAAAAAAATTAAAATATTTAGAAGGCACATAAAATTATTGCAATCAAAGAAAAACTCGTTTGACTGTTGAATTCAAACATCACCATATAAATTGAGACGAAGAAAGTAGTTACAATGAAAGATTGACCTAGTGCTTGAATAAGAAGCTGCCTCTTCATGAAATTAAACAATTAAAAACCCTATCAGACCTTAAGGAGACTTGAATTTCATTAAGGATATGTTTTGAAAATTACCACCTTGGAATATAAGATTTGGGTGTAATTGACATGCATATATTTTATAGCCAAGTAATATACACTCGAACTACTAATAAATATGTGGTGTAATCATAAGGTAACTTTTCACCCTAACTTTATATATATATATATATATATATATATATATATATATATNTATATGTAAAGATGAGCCTTGTTTCTCTGAATATATTGGTGATTGTGATGCAAGCCGGCTTCTTTAGAATTATTTCACATATTACTGAGGATCTGAAATTTTTCGAAAACCCTCTCAAATTTCGAATTGTATATTTACTTATCTTATCAAAAAATAATTTAATTATATAAATATCCCATAGGGGTAAGGGCGACATAGACATGCATAATAAAAGAAAACACCAACTAATATTTAGCCTGTCAGTGTTTAGTAGGACATTTGTAATAGTACATTTTTGGAGAAAGTGCATAAGGGGTGTTCCCATAACTATTAAAGCTTGAGAGTGTGTCTTTGCAAGTTTTGGAAACTCAAGGCACTTGAATTGATACTAACCTTTTCGTTAAGTCATTGATGATGTGCCTTGCATGTGTAAGTCTGTTATAGTCACACTCTTCTGTTTACTAATTTGGAGTAGGTTACATAAAAGTTACCTAGTGGAGGTTTAATAATATTTAGTAATCAATTGTAATAAGTTGCATCAATTTGCCAGTTGGAGGTTTGATAACATTTAGTATATTAAGAGGAGTTCAAATGTGAATTTTGCTTAGCCTATGACGAGAAGTTATGAGTGTTCATATTACTTTAGGTTTCTAATACATATTAGAGAGAAGTTGTAAACATAGGAGTAAAATGGGTCCTTGTAGCTTTTGTGTAATATGGTATGTTTTAAAAGCCTTCCCTTAGTGTATAAGGAACATTATATTGGAGAATTTCTGTTCCATAGAAGAAAGTTGGTCTACCAAAGAGCTACTTTTGGTTCAACTGATACCTGGATGTGGTCGGTAGCCTAGCAGTAGCACGTGCCTAAGGTCTGCCAAAGCCCTAGGTCTTGAATGAAACACAAGGATTACTTTTGGGTTCTTTTTTATGTAATAGCGGATATTGATCTAAAACTTTTTGTAGACATGGCTAGTGCAACTTCATCGTTTGAAATTTAGTACTAGTACTACAAAAACAACAACAACAACAAACCCAGTATGATTCCAACAGGTGGGGTCTGGGGAGGGTAGTCTGTACGCAGACCTTACCCCTGCCTAATGCAGGTAGAGAGGCTGTTTCCAATAGAAATTTAGTACTAGTACTACACTAAGTAAATGACTTCGTCTTCGTTGAGTTTAGTGGTTGTGGTTGATTTAATGCTTATTGGCTTCATAGTCTTCCACTAGCTCAAGGATTCAAGACTAATTCTAGGGGAAGACTAGTACATTAAGTAAGTGGGTTTTTAAAGTAGCTGATATGTTCTTCTAAGAAAAAGGGGTTGCCATATACAAGAGATATACAATTCTCTACAAATGCCATACAATGATAGATGCCTTATGTTCAACTAGAATAAATGGAAGGCACAATAGTTATTTGCATTTCAATAACAAGTCATTTATGTTTGGATAATGGTGTTTCTTTGCCCAAAGCTCATGAGTTCCTCTCCCTCCATCCAGTCTACAGCTTGGCGGATAACACTCCATCCCCTGGTGTTGTTCCTTTTCTACTCCTTTGTTTCTAAACCCAAAAGCCTATTTAAAATGTTCAGGATCACATTCCGATATTCCATACAACTGACATCACTTTGCTATTTTTCAGAAGATGATTAAGGCCCTCCCAGGTTTCCCTAAAACAGCAAGAACCAACTAATGAGTATACTCTTTTTTCGTAATTAAATTTTTAGCAATCAGCATAGCACCCTAGAGGAGCTATTAATTTCC